GGAACTTCCGACCGCCGATCGAGGTAAATTTCGTACCCTCGATTCGTTTTTCCACGCTGATTCCTCCTGTGGCCAAATCAGAGCCAAAATTCCGGCCAAACGGCCGGAATGCACGGCCGAAGCCCAGCGGCGCCGCCGCGCCCTTCCCGATTTTTTGCCTCCGATGAGGCCCTTCCCGGCCTCCGTTTGATGCAATTTTTATATCACTGTGATCACCACTTTTTTCTCTACAGGTTGACCGGAGCCGAATCACCAAAACACGAACCTCGCCGGAGAGCCGCCGCACCCGAGAGCGCCGCCGGCGGTAAGCTTCGTTTTCCCGTGATTTTTTGGCCCCCCGAGGGCTCTAGGGTTGTTTTCTCGCAGGGACCGATGCGAGTGTGGCCGAATTCGGCCGGAAACGGCCGAAAACAGCCAACCCGAGGCGAATCGCCGCCGCCAGCGGCGGCACCGTCGCTGGAGCACGGCGGAGCTGCCGTGCCGGAGTTGCGATTTGGGCCGAAAGGGGCCCTGGGCCTAATTTGGGATTTTTTTTGGAACACGTGCAGGTACCAGTAGTGCGTTTCAGTTCCCCGAGGAAAATTCAGGGAAAATTAGGGACAGCCTGCAAGCGCACTGTGAAGCCGTGTTCGGACCCCGAAACGAGTAAAGACCCCTCACCTTATTTCCTATCACGGTTTTAAAGTTCAATAAATGATAAAACGATATTTTATGAATCAACGAATGTGTGAAATTGCTTAGGGTCGCTAATGGAGCCCGAGTCTAGTGTGTTTGTCGGTTAATTGTTATTTGGCCTGTTTTACAGTTTTAAACGTAGCATGAGGTTCGATGTTTTCATTTTATAGTTTCGTGTGCATGTTTTACTGTTTTATTGATTATGGATTAGATGACCGGGATTTTGATGCTGTATGTTGTCTGCTTAGCATAAATTATCGTTTTACTTGCTTGTATGTGGATTAATAATGCTGATTGAGGAAAAAGAGAACGAACAATTATGTAAATGGATAATGGTATAATGTGATCAGCCTGACTAGATATCCTGGGAGATGGTGGACGGACCGGGTCCATAGGGGACCCTACCGGGATTGTGATCTCCCATACCGGACGGGGTATGGAGATCTTATGTGTTTTGGCGCCCATACCGGACGTGGTATGGGGACGGCCCGTTTCACCCTCATACCGGACGGGGTAATGAGGTTTATAGTTTTGGCGCCCATACCGGACGAGGTATGGGGACGGCCCTGGAATACGATTTCAAGTGTTAAGGGTTAACGGGTAGCGGGACCCCTATGGATCCCTATGGATACTAATGGGCTGGTAAATGAGGAAAATATATTGTGTAACGATTGAATTTCGAAAGGTTTGATAAGTATTACGTTATACAGTTTATATATGATTTCATGATGATAATGATGTTATTTTTTTCGTATATTGTCTTATGAATTTCACCGGGTAAGTGAATGGTAAAGGTTTTATTATTGATAAAAGGTTTTGTTGTAAATTATGCTCCATTGGTCTTTTTGTGTTTTCTACCCACCTTTACCTCCGTGACGGTGAGATATCGTGATGTCTTTACTGGGCTAGTGTAGCTCATTCCTTATTTAATCATTTCAGATCAGGAAGACCTTGTTCCCGAGCCAGTTCCGCAGGAGGACGACGAAGGGGACGCCTAAAGACTCCATAGCCATATTTGTAGCTTTTACTTTCAAGTTTCTCCTTTAGGTAGTTTGATCTTTTATATTGTGAGCACGTTTTTGGTTTTAGTATAAGGGATGTTAATCGAATTTTTGACTTCGCTTCTGCATTTGATATTTTTAATATACATTCCATTATGAATTTTCGGGGCTGTTACACTGATACCACTTGTAACATTCCGAACCCCAATGTTGGTGGGTATGGATGTTAGCATAACATTTCCAACTAGTGGAACAGATGAATATTAAATATGCAGTAGAACTACATTTTAATACATATATCTTATGACGGAATAATT